GTTAATATGTATAGAATCAATTTTAATCTTGATGTACTTAAAATTTTAGTTTGTGACATTTCTATTATGTAAGGTTTGGAAAATTGGACCAAACAACAAACAGAAGAACATATTCGACCGATCGAATTAGATGACATAATAATTAAATGAAAATATTATTAAAAATTATAAAATGAATGAGAAATTTTTCTCTAATACTTTCACTCTACATTTCATTTTCATATCAAACTAATCAAAGAACATAAATGTGGCACAAATTAAGTTTATAAAATATAAACAAATAACACATAATATAAATGTGGCATCAAATAAGTCTATAAAACATAAACAAATATTTCATAAGTAACTCATCAAACTGCACACCTTGTGGCTCCAAATTCTCATAGAAGGTGGTCTGGTCTTCTCGCAGCTCCCAGTTCCCGCACATGATAACCAAATAACATTGCATTGGGAGAGAAATGTATATCTTTTATTGAGCTCTATTGTGTGTTGGATGTTGAGGAATACATATCATTTTCAATTCTCTTTCTCCAGCATGTGAAAATGTTAAAAATCACACAATTTCAAAAAATTATGAATGCATATAATACTTTATCATTTCTTCCTGAGTCTTCTCCCTTGATAGGTGAAGTTCTTCAATGAAGTGGGCCTGATAACTTCATAAATAAGCGGCTGTGTTTATGTTAATTTTTAATCGGCCAGTTCTCTAGTTTCTCGGTTCTACTGGCGATTTGTCCGATTTTTTCCCAGTTTGATACTACTCTGATTTTCAGAGTTCAACCGATCGGTTCCTAGTTCAATAGGTTCAGCCTAATTTTAATAGCATTGCTATTATGTTTAAATGATATAAAATTATGTGATTTACTGATTTTAATTACAAATAAATTTAAAAATAATGAAAATAATTATTATAAAATGTATTATAAAATAACAAAAATAATGAATGGTGTGCTAATTTCTTAGACTATCCATCCTAATTAAAATTGAGCCAAAATATCCTATTGGTATGCCTAAATTTTTTTTAAGCCTAGTCCAAGTGTATTAAACCTGCTAAGGCGTGTCACCACATTGAGCCTTTTAAAGTAAACTTGCTAGAGTGATCCAAGCAAGCATACTTAACTTGAGGGTTGATCGAAGGAAGGATCCTTTTTTATAGTAAAGTTGTTGATGAGATTAAGCTATTCAGGGCTCTTCAATGAAGTATTTTTTATTTACATGCTTATTATAAAGAGTAGTTAGAAGTTGACAAAGCTACTTAACTATTTACTAGTCCCTAAAGATTGGCCACAAAAGATAGCCAAAAATAATTGTCAGAGCTTATAATCTTAGTGAAATATGCATGCAACTTTATAGAGAGTCGCTCCTTATTCTGAAACCACCATATGCATCCAATATAATTTAATAACTACAACTTCCATATCTTTATTTTATGAGAAGCCTTGATAAGGCAATGCCATGTATTTTATTCATTTTTTATAAATGCATTTTTCTTTTTATTTAGAGTTATGCCTTGACTCTATCTGAGGGCAAGTTTGAGAAAGAAAAAATTATTCTCCCAAGTCGCATTTTTTTCGGCAATAAAAAATCTTAGATCCCTTTAGACATCTCTCTCTCTCTCTCTCTCTCTCTCTCTCTCTCTCTCTCTCTCTCTTATTCTCTCATTTCTTAACCTTTTTTTATCAAAGGTCTAATAACACCCATGAATAAAATTGCATCCAACATCTTTTTAGGTGTGATGAGTGTGGATAAATGCAATAGAACAAAAGCCAAATTTTAGAGCTATTAAATAGGAAAGACATGAAGCCATCCATCTAGATAGATCATAAGCAAGCAAATCAACTAAATAGAGGATCAGCCCATAAGAATTATTCAAAGTGCCTTGGAACATGCCCATAGCGGAAACTCTCTTGTTAATATCCTTGATGATGGATCAATGGACTCTCCCATTTGTTAGTAATTTTCAAGTTTAAGCCAACATATGTTACTCTCAATTTCTACAATTGGCAATACTTATTACTTCAAAAGTAGTTTCATAAATGTCATGTCTTGAAGAGAAAAGAAGTATTAGTTATGCCTAACAAATATTTTCTCTAGTGAAATTATCGAGACATGACCTCTAGCAAATTAAAATCACCCCCTAGATGTTGGGGATGAGGAGTAAACATCACAATGATGAAACAAGCAAGAAAGTAAAAGCCACGGAAAAATAAAGGACACTATGATTTAATGTGGAAAACTCCAAAGTAGGGAGAAAAACCCATGGAGCCACACCACACCAAGAATTCCATTATAAAAATGGGAGTAATAAGTACAAATCTCTCTTCTCTCTCACTCTCTTATTGCTTCTCTTCTCACTTGCACGATTCTCTATGTCTAACCCTACAGGAAATATAAGAGAAAGCAAGTTATAACCATCAAGGGACACAACACTTAAGAAAAATGAGAAAGAAAACTCTGCAATCCATCTCGCAGCACTACAACACTAATTTGAGGCGCTGCATCGCTCAAACCTCTATCTGATGATGCTATGGCTCTTAAACTTGCAGCGCTGCGATGCCAAATTCATAGTGATGTAGTGCTATGCTCTATGTCGTTCAGCACTAGGGCGCTCTAGTACACAACACGTACAGGGGCGTAGTACGAAAAAAAATCTCTATTGCAAAGCACACCCAAACCCAAGCAGGGGATAACCCTCAGCAAGCACAACAAGCTTGAGCTCCGAGGTCATAAAACAACTTGATTAATCAACACAATCAAATTCCACACATACGACGGGTAGACAAATATGATTGACCACATTATTTTGAGCAGCCACCATTCTATTTAATATTGATAGTGCACTAAGCGTAGATTTTTCTTCACCGCCTTTAAGCAATCATAACTCAAGTTGTTCTCTCACCTTTTTTCCTTGAAAGCATTACCTTCTTTGTCAGGTTTAAGAGGTGGTTCATCACTCGATCTGTCAGCTCCTAATAGTTTTTGACGAATTCCCATATCTTACTAAAATGAAGCAAAAAAAGGGGGGTTCCTAAGAAATTTCTTTTAAAATAACAATGGAAGATGCTAGACAAGAAATATTTGGAGTCTGTGCCGCGTAGACTTTGCTCACCTAAGTTCTAAGGGAAGGATCTTTGAGATAGCCACTTGGCTTGTAATAGCCAAGTACCCTAACCAAGTTGGCAAAAAGCAATGGGGACTTAGGTTTTGTTTTGGACAGCTTTCTTACTGATTCATAATGAGGCTTTTTATAACAAAAATTAAACCTGCTTAAGCTGTCCCAAATCAAGCCTTATGCAAATTTTATTAATTTCTTTAAGAAAAATATTTGAACAACTACAAGTACAATTTTTTCTGGCAACTTCCAATTAACTAACTTTAGCTAGTTGCCATGAACAGCCACTTAGATATTACTTTTAATTATTCTTGATATATCATCAAAAAATTATCTTGTTCAGGCACGAATCTCAAGGAAAAAACTAAGTTGGAAATTTCAAAAATTAAATCAGAGATCATATGAACTCTAATTTAAGCAAACTTATAGTCGAACTAAAGGTCTCAAAAATACAAACCCAACGACAACAAATTCGACCAATCCGGGCTCAAATGAGTCCAAATCGAAGACCCGAAGCACATTCGGAAGGTTCAAACCATAATTTAGATTACCAATTGGATTTCGAACATGACATGCTTATGGTCGAATCGAGCAGCTCGACGAGAAGAATCGAACGAGCCTAAGATCACCGAATTTTGATATCATTAAGACATTCAAATTTATAATAAACAGTCCACAATCAAGGGATTCAACATCGGTCGTCCATTCTAACCACTCCAAATTTACCCATGATCTTCCTCCTATTTACTGGTCATGCCACTATTAGAAAACTATAAATAAACCTCTCATTTCTCATAGAAAGAAACCAAAAGGGGGGAAGAAGGAGGAACAAACAAGAAGAGAATGAAGAAAAGAAAGAGAAGGTCTAGACTCCTCGACCACCGCCGAACTTCCAAAAGACAGTCGACCGACGCAAGAATTCTATCCGATCGCCAACTGGCATAGTAATTAAGAAAGAAGAAAAGAAAGAAAATAAAGAGACTCCTCCTCGACCACCGCCGAACTTTCACATGGTAACTGACTGACGTCGGAGATCTGCCAGATAGCCGATCGACCCCGGAATTCTATCAGACCACCAATTGATGGTGGGGTTCTTCCCGTCCACCGACCGTCGTCAGATTTTTACCCAACACCGAACTTCCTCTTATTGTAGGACTTATGTCTGTCGTCAGACTTCTACTTGATGCCGGACTTCCACCCATCGTCGGATTTCTACCCGAAGCCGGACTTATGCCCATCACAAGACTTATGTTCATCGTCGGACTTCTGCCCGATCACCAACTACATCAGGCTTCTGCCGGCTATCAACTGTCGTTGACATCTACCTGACTGCCAATTAATGCTAGTTTTTCTTCCCAACCACCAACAAACGTCGAAGTTTTGCAAAGCCACCAAATGATGTCGGACCTTCATCTCCTTCTAACTACAGTCCTTCCGGCCTTCGTCTCCCGCCGACTACGATCCTTCTTATCTTTTTCCTCTTTTCAGGATTTTCTGCGTAAAAATCTTGGTGTCTCTTATAAATATTGCACCCTCTCTTTTTAGCTGATTGGATGTTGGATATTCGTACAACGCTAAGATGTTAAACTTTATATTTCTCTGCCGCCAGAATTTTTCAGGATGCAACAAGTCTTAAATGTGAAACTTAAAATTTCAAGTATATTTTTAAAACATTCAGTGTTAAATTGAAAAAGCTACTTCATAAAACAGTATAAAAGCTGTCATGTTCTAAACGAAGTCTTAGACTTTGTTTGGTATGACTTTCTTACTGCTTCTTAAAATAGTTTTTTTAGTTCAAATTTCTTAAACTAAAAATTTTATAAAAAATAACTCCTCAAACATATCTTTCATTAAAACTTGTCATATAATAATATCTCCTCAAATGAAGTCTTAATCTGAAAACATAGCAAACAGTTTTATCTATGTTCAAATAGGGCCTAAGTACGGATTTTCTAATCACCAAGTCTTCAATCTCCCCAATCCCAACCTCCCCTTCCACCGACGAAATCAGAAATGAAGGAAACTCTGGTGCTCTACCCATTTCCCGCCATGGGCCACCTCGTCTCCATGGTCGAGCTCGGCAAGCTTTTTCTTACCCACGGCTTTGCCGTCGCCGTTATCACCGTCAACTCCACCTACACCACCGGCGCCGCCAGCTCCACAGAAACCTTCATGACCCGCATGTCCTCTGCTCACCCCTTCCTCTCCTTCCACCGCCTCCCTTCCGTCTCCCTCCCCCCAAACGCATCTCCTCACCACGAGGCTCACGCCTTCGATCTTTTCCGCCTCTCCAACCCTCACCTCCTCTCTTTACTCTCCTCTCTCTCCCAATCCTCCCCTGTTCGCGCACTCATAGTTGACTTCTTCTGCACAATCGCACTAGATGTGGCTGCTGAGCTCGCTATACCCTCCTACATCTTCTTCACAAGCAGCGCCGCTAGCCTCGCTGCCTTCCTCCACCTCCCGGCTCTCCACTCAAAGGTCACCACAAGCTTTAAGGATCTTGGCGACTCCCCTCTCCACTTCCCAGGGCTTCCTCCCATCCCCGCACGCGACATGCCGCTTCCGATGCTGGACCGTGACGATGAGGCTTACAAAGGCTTTGTCGCCCTCTTCAACCGGATGCCAGACGCTGATGGGATCATCGTCAACACCTTCGTCTCGCTGGAGCCCCGCCCTCTACAGGCAATTGCATATATTATCATTTTCCCTTATTTTTAAGTTGATTTTAGTATAGCTTGAAGGAATTTTTTAATCGAGATTATACACAGCTTCTAGTTGAGTTTAGCTTCATTAGAGGATGGCCTAGGATGCATTGGCATGGGCATGGACATGGGGACATGACATGACCGACATGAACATGAGACTTGTCTATTATTGAAAATATTATGGTTAGGCATTAGATATGGCATTAAAATTTTTTATATTTTTAAATAAAAATAATGTATATAAATTAAAAGAAATCAATTGAATAAAGCTTGTAGAGTTATAGTAGTGACCACTATTTTTTATTCAACATTGCACGATATACACACTACAGGAAAAGCAATCATCACCGGCGGCCTTAATCCGTCGGTAAAGACCGAAATGCATCGGAAAATATAGGTTTCCTGAGGAATTCCGACGAAAATTCCTTCCACGGTAAATTATGTGTCGGAAACTTTTTCCATCTTATTCTTTTCATCGGAACTATTTTCTGACGGTTTTTCCGGCGGAATATTTGCATGTCCCGGTGACATTTTGGTCCTTATCTTCCGTTGACTTTTCTGTCGGCATTTGCGGCGGAAAGAATGCGCCGAAAATGCCGGCGGACAATCCGACGGAAACAAACCGATGGATCACTACCGTCGGAGAGTACCGGCGAAATAACCGTCACAAATGTCCTCCGGAAACCTCGTGATATCGTCTTATAGATAGGTTTCTAGTAGAATATCCGTCGGAAACCTGTAGCAGAAAGAAAAAAAAAACCTTCCTCTCTTTGAAAAGTGATTTCTATAATTAAACCTGCATAAAAGAAAATACAACATAATATGCATTTATACATCAACTTCTGATCAAGAACATCACCAAATACATAATTAAACATGTCCAAACAACAAACAACTAAACAAGTACACAATGAACATAAACAAGATGTTCAAACAAGAAATATATAAAAATGACAAAAAAAGAAATAAAAATAGATGTCCACATCAGTAAAATAGATAAATAACATCTACTCTGATTCAGTTTCATCCTCAGCAGATGTTGTACTCCTCCCACTACTCATATGCTCCCTCATCTTTCACATTTCTTCTAACATTTGAGCTTGCATATGCATCTGCTGCTGCTGCTGTATTTGCATTTGCCAATCAGCTTGTGCTTTCCTTACCTATTCTCGCTCGGTTGTTAGGGAAGATATCTATTGGGTATATAAAGACTCCTGTGTACTAGATGAAAAACTGGAGCCACTAAATGTCTGCCCTTCATATGCATAGGCTTGCGAGCCTAACCCGTATACTCTATTGTGTTGCATTCTTCCTACCGCTTGCAACCAATTGCGATAGTCAAAATATTCTGCTGATCCACCAGAAGGACATTCACCTGCTGCAGCTTGACTCTCTCGAAGCCGTGTGTACTCCTCCTATGAAAGTTAATAAAAATTTACGCATTTTATACATAACATCACAAAAATAAAACTTATATACTTACATAAGCTTTCCTCGCTCGCTCGTCAACCCATTGTTGTTCCTCCTGCTGCTTGTGGGTACGACTATGCAATTCAACAGGAGTCGGTTCTCTATCCAGCACCTCTTTCTGTGAGAAAAATATATTAGTATTATAATTAAAGTAAATTATTAAATATTTTAAATTACCTTACCAAACGTCTTCTATACTTAGTATGAGAAACATAACCTCCTGTATGAAGGGAACTACCTAAGCTCCCAACATAAGAAGCTCTGTTCAGTCTATTATGATCCTACCTCCTGGTATAATATGGGCTACCACAAGCACTGCTCAACTCTGCCCATACACACTCACCAATCCAGAGTGGTCGCTGGCCTGACTTTCTAATATTAGTAAACATGTCTCACATGCGAGTCGAGCCACGCCTCTCAAAATTCATTCTGATTTTATCATTATGTTGTGGCAGCTAACAAAAAACTTTATATATTTAAACACATACAATAAAAAATAAATGATTGTCTTAGCTTATGTACATTACATATAATACAAAAAATTTATATAATAGCAAACCTCAAACTCTCTAAACCACATGTCCCGTACTTCTTTCGAGACTTTCTTCCAAGAAATATAAGGAGTATCGTATTTGCTCCGTATTATGTAACGTATTTTATACGTTGGCTGCTTTGACGAATTAAACCTGAAAGAAATATATTAGTTGTCAGAAATATTATTTCAATTTTATTTGCATGGCTGAAATAAGATTAGTACTTACGTGTCACCGTCAGGTTCAATCAATATGCGACCCTCTGTAGTGGGCTGAGGTGGTGCTGTAGCGGGCTGAGGTGGTGTTGTAGCGGGCTGAGATCGAAGGAGCGAAGTCGAACAGTGTCGAAGGAGGAACAACGTCCAAGGAGCGAAGTTGAACAACGTCGAAGTAGCAAAGTCGAACAGAGGAAATGAGAAGGCAGCGCTAGGGTTCGCCCAATATAAGTTAATTACCGGCGTTGTTCCAGCGGACTGTCCGACGGTAATTTTATTGGCGGAAATTTCGCCTGTATCATCTCGTCGTGTTTTAGTTATGCCGACACCAAATACGTCGGAAAATCCGTCGGTCATTACCGGCGGATTATGCGCCACTATATTTATAACACTAGCGCAAAACCAACGTATTAGCCGCCGGTAACATAGCGACAGATAAGCCGCCAAAAATGCCGTCGTAAAATCACCGGCAAACATTTTCGCCGGTGGTGCCGTCACCGTTGCTGGCGTATATTTATCCGTCGGAAAATTCCGACGGTAATAAGATATTTTCCTGTCGTGACATAAGATAAATACATAATATTAAATAACACAGCTTAAATAAATAACGGATAAAATCATAGTATGAAAATTTGAAACCGTGTATTATTTAAAAAAAAAAATATTAACTGTGTTTTCTTATGTAATAAACTTATAAAGATATAGTGAATGACTACTTTATTTTATATAAAAAAATATTTCACAATACTATTCCTTTTAAAATATATATATATATATATAATAGTGAATGACTACTTTATTTTATATAAAAAAATATTTCACAATACTATTCCTTTTAATATATATATAGTTAGCACACATGCATCGTTACAACAAACAACAGAGGACCTCCTCTCTCTACTACTATAGTAGTCTGACTCCACACACATATGTGGCACACACCACCTACTGCTAATGACATCACTACACTCAAATCAACCATATTTTACATTCCTATATAAGAATGCTAAAATAGTGCAATCACATGATGAATGAACATACAAATCCTTAATTACTAAATCATCTACTTCTCTATGTATTTATAAAAATAGTCCAAGTCTTCTATCTTGGTATCAAAGCTTTAAGCTCCAAAGCCATTATCTCCTATCTTCGTTATGGCAAGTCAAGAGCCCTTAGGCATACAATCAGCTCCTCTCTCTACTTCCCTAGCTGAATTCATCATACCTTCTCCACTCAAATTCCTCATGTCTAACATCAAGCTCATAGTTAACATTCAACTGAACAATGAAAACAATTAAATCTAGAGACATTAGGTCTACAAACATTTTTTAGAAAATGGGTTCGAAGAGTATCTAATCGGTAGCTAAACTCTCCCTTCTGAGCCAAATCCTTCCTCCACCGACACCATCTCAGCTACTTAATATTACCATCCATGGCATCTAATTGATCAGAACTTTGTCTCTGCCCTTTTCTCCACCATATCTCCCTCGATTCTACCTTATATTTTCAATCTTAATATTGCTCACGAACTATGAATTACCCTGGAAAAAAGACTGCAACCAACAAATAGGTCTTGTGTTATACAACTCAAGAAGGAAGATCCTACCACCCCAACGAGTCTTGCTTTCCTCAAGGGCGTGGAACTTCCTCCAATCCTTCACTACCCGCCAAGCTTGGATCAGTTCCTCCCACCACTCAGAAACAAACTTGTCAAATCTGTTACAAACCAGACATATGGATGCATCCTATTGGCACCGATGCAATTTAAAATATATTCTAACCAGCTCCTAAGCACTATAGGCTCTGCTTACAAATCCTCAACCAACTTCAACTATTGAATGGGTGCTCGATTCAGCCGCCTCATCTCATTTGATAGTGCATGCCACCAATCTGCAACAATTACATCCTTACAAAGGCATTGATTCCATCACTATAGCTGGCGACAACTATCTACCCATATACCATAGTGGTCAAGACATCTTGCCTCTCCTGGACTTGCACCGTAAGCTATTTCTACATAATCTCCTTCACGTTCTCTCTTTATCCCACAATCTCCTTGCTATACACAAACTAACCCCCCGACAATAATTTCTCTATCTTACTTGATGCCTCTAAATTCATCATGAAGGAAATAGAGGACAGTCAAACTCTCTTTCGTGGTCGCAGCCGTGAAGGTCTCCATTTTGGGTCTACCAACAAAGCTATACCCCCACAACGTTCCATTCCAACCTCAACTCCAACTCTCTATGGCATTCTTCATCAACTTGTCAATAACACCATAGATAAAAGCAATCCATCCTTATGCATTTTGTCTGCTTCTTTTTTTATGTGAATCTTATAAAGTGGCCAAAAGTCACAGATTATCATGTCCAACAAGCTCTACTCATGTTTCTACTCCTTTAGCTCTAATAAATATGCTCACCATTTCTTTTATTTAGAAAAGTGTAACTGAAACTTCATTTGAGTCAAAATATACTTGCTTGTAAATAAAAGATGTATTTCCTCATAGCCCCATGAATGTTCAAACCATAAAGTTGCTCTTTCTTCCCTTTTTCATGGACCTTCCTCGCGGTCTCTAAGCACTTCATTGAGATCCCTTCCAACACCTCTTAACCACCTCGCTCCATTAACATTGTATTCTAAGTTTGATGCTACATCAATCATTATATGTGAAATATAAATCATTATTAAATTAAGAAAACATACAATTGAATGTGTGAATTTATCTATTAAAACTTTATAGTATTTTGATGGTATTTTGTACTACATATTTTTATATTGAATATCCTATGTGTATGGGTACACTAAATTCTATTGTATATTTATAACCTTAAAATAGTATTATAATATATATCCTTAGCCATTTTGTGTGGTGTGCATTAAATTTGTTAACACAATGACAATTGACAAGCATCATAACATGAAATGGAATCATCACAATTAATAACACTTAATTTCATTACTCTAAGAATTGCATCAAATAAAAATAGTCTTAAACATTATAATAAATAAGGTTATTTGACACATCAATAAAAATACAAATATCATGCTTTAAAATCAAATGCAATTACATCAAATAGTATTACAACTTCGAAAAAAGTACTTATTAGTATGATGGAGATTAGAGGGATCGTAGTTGGCTATCTATGGCGGTCAAAAGGATGGTAGTTGGCTAGATATATTGGTTAGAAGGAGCGTAGTTTGACAATGGTAGTTGGAAGGATCGTAATCAGGTGACGTTGGTCGGAAGGGCTGTAGTCGGGTGATGGTGGTTGCGAGGATTATAATCGGGCCACAGTGGTCGGAAGGATTATAATTGGGTCATGGTGGTCGAAAAATTCGTAGTCAGATGATGGTGGTCGAAAGTACCATCAGGCAACAGTGATCGGAAGGATAGTAGTCAAGCGATGATGGTCGGAGGAAACGTAGTCCGGCGATGGTGGTTGAAAGAACAATAGTCGACAGGCGATGGTGGTCGAAATGATCGTAGTTATCGGGCGATAGTGGTTGGAAGGACCGTAGTTGGGAGATGGTGGTCGAAAGGATTGTAGTCGGGCGATGATGGTCAGAAGGACCGTAGTCGGGCGACGGTGATCGCAAAGACTATAGTCTGGCGACGGTGGTCGAAAGGACAGTAGTTGGCAAGCAACAGTGGTCGGAAGGATCGTAGTTTGCAAGCAACAGTGGTCGGAAGGATCGTAGTTGGTGGGCGATAGTTGTCAGAATAACCGTAGTCGGGCAACGGTAATTATAAGGATTATAGTTGTGCGACAATGGTCAAAAGTATCGTAGTCGAGCAACGGTGGTCTGAAGGACCATAGTCTGGCGACGGTTGTCAAAAGGATCATAGTCTGGCGATGGTAGTCGAAAGGATCATAGCCAAACGATGTTGGTTAGAAGAATGGTAGTAGGGAAACGGTGGTTGGAAGGACCGTAAATAGGCGACGGTGGTCGAAAGTGTGATGCCCCAGAATCAAATAGTGAAAGGATTCGTCTGACATTCTGATCGAACTCCATTCCAGTTGTCTTGCTCGGACCTGAAAATTTAAACCACATATAATGAGCTTACAAAGCCCAGCAGGTCACCAAAGCCTACAACTGAAATCAAAGCACGGCGATGCTATCAATATGCAGGTCAATATAAAATCAAGTTAATCAAATCTATATCAGTCAATGGTCAATGAATCTATGCAATACGGAAATCCAGTAGTCAATAAAACCAGTCAATGCAGCGGCAGACGAATCGATAAATCAACTCAATAAATCGATACGTGAAATCTCAAGAGAATCCGTCGATCAGTCAAATCAATCGTATCGAACCAATCTATCGTATCAAAGCAAATCTCTAGTATCAAGTCGGTAAATCAATCTCTAAAGAAATACGATAAAACAATAGCAGCAGCAAGTCAAATCGATGAAGAATCAATGGTATCCATGAGTCTATGAATCTATGCCGTCCATGTCCATATCAATATCAATAATCAAGTAGTATCAATGCTCAATGATCCAATATCAATAATCAAGTAGTATCAATGCTCAATGATTAATCAATGAAATCAATGAATCCGTACGATAAGAAATCAATTCGATAAATCCAATCGGAAATCAATAAATCGATGCATATCATTCAATGGTCTTACTAGACAAGTACAAACGCTGGCTATGTTGCTGTTGTAGAATCCGTATTGCTGTTGTAGATGTCTATACGTTGGTTCCATTAATAAGAGTCGTCACTCTTTTGCCCGTCGGCCGCCCGTCGGCGTATAAAACTCCTTATAACTCCCTCCATGATCCATGATCCATGATCTATGATTTAAAGGAAAGCCCGTCGGCCCACCATCCTGTACAGGTCAAGTCTATCTCCAACCAACGTTCAACCATGTTCCCACTTGTCTTTCAGTAACAATCAATCAATGCAATAATCGATGCAATAAACAATAATAAAGAAATCTAGGACAATCATATCAATAGTCATGCACATATCAATTCAATCTATCAATTCCAGAAAATTCGGAAATCATACGAAAATCGGGCAGCGTAACGGCAGTCGGTCAAATTTACACAAAAATCCTGCAAAAAGGCACAATTTCCAAATTCTTCCAAATTACAATAGAATATCGATAACATCAATACAAGACTATTGCCCTATAGAAATCAAATCAAATCAAGTCCCGATAATTTTCTATTCGATTAAAATCGCGTAGAATCAATTCCGACCGGTAAAATCTTCGTAGAATACAGTCAAATCGTGTGCAATAATCATATCTATAACATATCAAAAGTTGTGCGGTGAAAGTTGTGCCAAATCCAAATCACGTCGAAAAGTCGACTACGAAAACACAAAACAAATCATAACTCGGTCAAAACTCAATATCTTTGAAAACAGAAATAGGGTTCGGAGTCCTTACCACGAGATCTTCACTTTTCCCAACAGCAGCGTCGGACGAAAAGCGCTCCGCGACCTCCAAAACCAGGTTTTCCTCTTTTTCCCTTCTCTTTCTCTCTCCTCAAATCAGATATTTTTATTTAAAATGATTTTCTCTCTCCTCAAAACGATCAGATTTTCATTTATCATTAGTCGGATCGGCCCGGCCGATCGCCAGATCGTCCCAGGACGATCAGACCAAAAACGATCGGCCTGGACGACTCCCAGAACTATTCTCAGGCCGATATTTTCTACAGTGCCGATCGGCCTGGACGATTTCCAATCGTCCTGGACGATCCTGAGAGGAAAAATCCAAATCAGAGAGGAACAGTAAGGGAACGAGGTCTCACAGAAAGGAACATAGTCAACAGACGACGATAGTCGGAAGGATCGTAGTCAGGCAATGTTCCTCGAAAGGACCGTAGTTAGCGAGTGACGGTGGTTGGAAGGACAGTAGTCGAATGATGGTTGTCGGCGAGTAATGTTGGTCAGAAAGACAATGGCTGGAAGGAAGTCTGGTAGCAATAGGCGGTCAGGCAGTGCAAGCTTGAGAATGCAAAAGTGATCCTTCATTTTTCACATCTTCCTATTCCTTTTGTGAATAATGAGGGGTCTATTTATAGCTTTTTTTTAGATGACATGACTAGTAAATAGGGAGAAGATCAAGAAAACATTATGAGTGTTTCAATGGACGGTCGATATCAAATCCCTCAATCATTGATTGTTTATCAAGCATTTGAGTGTCTTAATAATATCAAAATTCAGGGATATTGGGTTCTTTGGATTCGTGTCGTTGAGCCACTCGATTCGACTATAAGCATGTCATATTTAAACATCATTTGGTTATCCTTTTAATGTTCAGAAACTTCCAAATAGGCTTCGGCATCTCTATTTGGGTCAATTTGGATTCGAATTAGACCGATTTTGTTGTCATTGGGTTCATCTCCTTGAGATATTCAATTTGACTATAAGCTTGCTTAAATTGGAGTTCATATAGCTCTAGATTTAATTTTAAAATTTTATATTCGAATTTGCTTCAAGATTCATGCTCCGTGAAGATAATTTTTTTAATAATATATTAGTACTCTTACAAAATCATGTATACATAATAAATAGGTTGAAGTTAATATAAATACAACATTATTTATACTTGAGGTGAAAAAAAAAATGAAAAGTGATATTTTTCATTAATTCTTTTTCCTCAGTATCTTTATTATTTCCTTTATATCAACCTTTTTTAACTTCATTCCATCTATAATGTGTAGAAGAGGTAAAACCAAACAAGATTTAACTTCATGTCATATTTTTAGATTCAAATAAAAATTATATCAAAATATTCGAGTAAAAATTATATTATGAAGAGTTTAAAAAATATTAAAATTAATATTATATTAATTTTAAAATAAATTAAATAATTTATCTCCACATTGTGTAATTTATTTCAGAATATGCAGATACAAGCTTTCTCCATGTTATTTCCTTTCTAATAGATATTCTTGATATTTCCTATCAGGCAATCGCCGGCGGCCTTGCAGTCCCCGGCAAGAAGGCACCGCCGGTGCACTGCGTCGGTCCGTTGATAGCCATCCAACCAAAGCTCCGCCACGACTGCCTCGACTGGCTCGACAAACAACCTCAACAGAGCGTCGTCTTCCTCTGCTTTGGAAGTCTCGGCGCCTTCTCTGCTAAGCAGCTCCACGAGATCGCCATTGGACTTGAAAAAAGCCAGCAAAAATTCCTCTGGGTGGTAAGAAGCCCTCCAAACCCCGTAGCGGCACTAGCGCCCGGCGGAGGTGAGAGCGCAAAGCTGACGGAGGCGCCGCTGGAGCCAGAACTTGAAGCGCTGCTACCTGAAGGGTTTCTAGACAGGACAGGGGAAAGAGGGCTGGTGGTTAAGTCATGGGCGCCGCAGGCAGAGGTGCTAAGACACGGGGCAGTCGGAGGATTTGTGACGCACTGCGGGTGGAACTCGGTGCTTGAGGCGATCGTTGGAGGGGTGGCGATGGTGGCATGGCCGCTTTATGCGGAGCAGAGGATGAATAAGCTGATGTTGGTGGAGATGGGGCTGGCGGTGGAGATGAGGGGGTATGAGAGCGGGGCGGTGGAGGCGGCGGAGGTGGAGGAGAGGGTGAAGGGGGTGGTTGAGGCGGAGTGGGGGAGAGAGGTGAGGGGACGGATGGAGATACTGAGGCTCGCGGCTGAGGCGGCAATGGCGGATGGGGGCTCATCTAGTGTGGCGGTTAAGGATCTTGTGAGCAAATGGAAAGCGGGAAGACGGTAGAGACCGTTAGACGATAGTTATCTTGGCGCTACTTGAATTATCTAGGCTCTGCAATAAATCTCTACTTTATATGGATTGGCTAAGGGGCTTTGTGATTTGCATTAAACTTATTATATTTGAAACATTTTAAAATTATTTGCATTAGTGTAGAAAAAAATGTAACTGATCTTATACATAACACTTAAAACTAGTGTAAATACATATTCAACACTTAAACTTTTATATTTACGGATATATCACCTAAAACATCATTTTCATCTATTCTAACACTCTGCTTAAGCCCGTCAAACATTATGTGTTTCTTGACCTCTCACGGCGACTATCCCCACTGCGCCGCTTCCCGCCACTTCGCCTATGACTCTTCCGGCTTTGCCTTCGCTCCTTACGAACCTTATTGGCGCTTCATGAAAAAGCTATGCATGTCGGAGCTCCTCTCCACTCGCACTATCGAATGTCTCGCTCACATCCACCGTCGTGAGCTCCGTGCCCTGCTTCGAACTCTTGCGGCAGAGTCCACCGCGGCAGAATTTGTTGATATGAGTAAAGAGCTCATAAGGATGACGACGAGCATCGTCGCCTGAATGATGGCCGGAATGGCATTCGCAGGAGATAGCAAGGGGGCGAGGAAAGTCGTGAAAGGGGTGGCAGAGCTTATGGGATCACTCTACTTGGCAGATTTCATTGTGTTTTTTCACTTTTTCGATTTGCAGGGCTTCAAAAAGGGGATTATGCAGGTGCAAGATGATTTAGATGAGTTGATGGAGAGAAATATTTCGGAAAAAGAGGCCATGAAAAAGCTGCGTGGGTGAAGACGATGAGAAGTACTTGCTTGATATATTGTTCAATGCTGCCAAGTACAAAGAGATGGAGATACTGTTACTGTTGTTGACGCCGATCTCATAATAGCTTCATTCTAGTATCATTTGTTACGACCGATTAATTCACCACCGGCGGCGTCGCCGCCATACCCAAAATTGGTCTTTTTATTCCATTGGACAAGGAAGACGAGCGAGAGCAGAGAGCGTCGTTCATACAGTCAAGGCAATACATGTTGCACTCGTTCTAGTGAACGTCGGCGTGTAGCTTGCATTGAACAAAGAAGCTCATCGAGAGCAAAGGCCGTAGCCATGGCGGGGAGTTGAAGACAGTCGCTGATATGGATTTATGGCAGTGGCTTAAACTGACGTTAGAATAGATGAAAAAGTATTTTTTAGATGGTATATCAATAAATATAAAAGTTTAGATATTAAATATGTATTTACACTAGTTTCAAGTGTTATGTATGTGAAAACTTATTTTTTTTATGTTTGATTTAAAGTAAAATAAATTTAACATAAATTCAATGGCGGTTGTTACGAGCTGGGACAATAATAGGAATAGGGCATTAGGGTGGAACAATTATTACGTCCTCTGACCGGACGCAGAGCTACGTTCAGCCGCCAATAACATGTCGCCATGTGCTCTTACTCTAAACGTCGCGGCCCGACGACTTGACCCGGAGCGGAACCCGGGAATGCTATGTTCGCGATTTTCTCAGTATTGCTCGGTATTTGCTAGGTATTGCTTTGTAAAAATGAGAAATACCGCTATGTGAAGACCAATATCATGCAAATACCGAGTTGTACCGAGTTTTTTATAACTCGGTACAACTCAGTATTTGCTCATGATTTGCTCGGTATTGCTAGGGATTTGCTCGGTATTGCAAGGTATTTGCTCGGTATTGCTAGAAAAAAACTCGGTACAACTCAGTATTTGCTCAGTATTGCTAGGTATTTGCTCGGTATTGCTAGGGATTTGCTCGGTATTGCTAGGTATTTGCTCGG